GGGTTCTTTCTGCTGCTTATAGTGAAATGCCAAAAGACTCGGTTCAAAAGCTATTTCAAGAGATTAGGCGTAACTTCACAGATCTCAACCAACCCAAAGGACTGCTAAGAAGAGGAGCCAAAGAGAAAGAAGGGCATACCTCACAACAATTTGTAGGTATGGAGCTTTTTTTGTGGGGGGCAAATGTTGTGGAAACCCACAGAAGACCCAGAGAGTTTCAAGCTTGACCTGAAAAGGACAGAAGAAACAAACAAAAGGAGATTTTCAAACCATACTCCCTATACACACAAAATTCTTACTGCAGGAAGCAGGCTGATGAGTTACTAGTCAATTGCAAACATGTGCTACTTTTCACAAAAAGGAAGGGTGACTTGGAGGATGAAATTAAGTACCCAGAGGGCAGAATGTAGAGTCACAAGATTTTTTTCAGTCTTTACAAACTTATCAAGAAACTCCCATTTGCCACCTGGATTGGGAAACTCCTTTGGACAAGTGACTCCTTTTTACCTTACATTCCCCGCTCCCCTGCCCCACTTTTTAAAATTTAATCTTTATTGCATTTTTCATTACCATTTAGTACCCTTATATCTCCCTCCCCCCAGCAATCACCAGTTACCCATGTCCACAAGCCCTTTTTGCTCAATCCCTCCACCTCATAACTTCCCCTCACCTCTTTCTGAGCAGAGTGTTCATAGCTATAATCCTGTGCCTGTCTCACCATGTATGTTGGGAGTGTTGAGGGCAGATAACTTGCCTCTTTGCTTTTGTAGGTCTACAGATAGATGGAGAGGAATTGAGCCCCAAGTGTTGTTGTATTTATGGATTATAGTAGGAGCCCCATCTGTACCTCATTAAGATGATTTAGATGATGAGTTGTTGTTGTTGTTGTTTTACTTTAAGGAGATTTAGACACAGTTTGGGGCTTGACCTAATGATATTGTGAAATTTGTATTTCAAGGTTGCAATTTTGGAACACAGCTGATGCTGTGATGAGATGAGTCTCTGAGAACCTAGGAAAGGGAGTCAATGTGTTTTTCAAGGTAAGCAGAATTTTGAGAAGGGCTCCCAGATTTCTCCCCCCTGGTGTACACACCCTGCATAGCCTCCTCCCTTCAAATGTGGGTGAAACCTGTGAATATGATGGAATAGTAGCTTATTTGCAGGTTAAGTTTTATGCCAAATGGTGATGGGATGGTCACTCAGTGATTACCTTACATCATATAAGACTCCATCATCACGGTTGACAGAGACATTTGGAAGTTAGAGGGAGGTATCAGCTCCCACAGGCTTGAGAAAGAGCAAGCACTGTGAGCTGCCTGTTGTAGTCAGCTGCCAGGGAACTGTGGACAGCCTCTAGGTGCAAAGTGTGGTCCCCAGCCAGCAGCTAGCAAGAAGACAGGAAACTTAGGCACCACCATGAAGAAATGAATCATGCTAACAACAAATGAGATTGGAAGATGTCCCCAAGCCTCAGATAAGAATCACTCTCGGTTAAAACCTTAACTTCAGCTTGGCGAGACCCTGAGCAGTACCTGCACTTCTGACCTACAGGTCTGTGAGATGATAAGTGGGAATTGTTTTAAGCTACTAAGCTTATGGTTATTTGTTACCTGGCAATACAAATCTAATATAGCACTAATGAGCTAAGTCACCACTAGCAAAAGTTCTGTAACAGACTGAGTAATAGTTTCTGTACCAGTAAAATGGAATCATAATATCCACACCATACCATATTATGTTGAATGAAATAATTCTTACTAAGCCTAAGTAAAACATCAGGAAGGGTAAGCACTCAACAGTATGTATATACCATTATTTCCAAGAAAATTCCCAAACCTTAAATTTTTCTTTTAACTGACTATATTGGAATCTATCCAAAAATGTAACCTAAGGCAATGTAATCTGCTCTGCTCACCTGGTTATTCTCCACCTTTGGAAAGCATTCCTGCACATCACAGATCAAACTCAAATGTCTCCTTCTGCCGAAAGCTTTGCTTGGGTGCTCTCATATGGCATTAATCAGACCATCCTCTGAATGACCACAGTATGGGGTGCAGCACAAATAATGTCCCCTTTTTTATTGCAACATCTTTCATTACAAAATCATTAAGCATGTGATTTTGTAACATAACAATATCACACTCAAGTAAACATATAATATTTTAGATGGAATGTTCAAATTAAAACTATGAATTATTGCACACATATTATTACCCTGAAATATGGTAATGATACCATACCACACTTTAGCAGGCATTACTTCTGCCGGACCCTGTATATGCAATTTGAGTTCTGCTTAAAGGCATATTTCATCCTATCCTGTATTTGGCTGCTTGCATGTCCATTTGCTTCTTAAATGGCAAGCCCTTTTTAAGTCAGTTTCATTCTTGGTATCTATGTCTTGGACTTTTGACCCAGGAATCTAACAAAGGCCCTGCTACACAGTAGAAACTTAATACTGATAGAATTGAAGTGAATCACTAGAAGGGAATGTTATACGATGTATCAGTTAATGACAAAAAAAAAGGTTTTCTGTATACTTGTAATGGTTAAATATTGAACTTATTTTGGCAAAGCAAATAGAATATACCTGGTGAATAATGAATTTTCATGCTTCAAACACAAATCTACCTTTTATGCTGCTACTAATTTCATCTAGTTTTTATACAGTACAGAACAACCAGGTAATTTATAAAGTTAAAACTCAAAAAGTCCTATTTATCATATATTAATATAATGTCTCCTAGTTGGTAGATGGGTTGAAGTGTTTTTATATTTCCACTGATTTTTGTCTTATTATTGTTGAACAGTCTTCTTGACTTCAGGTTAAGCCCCTTATACTTCAAACAGTAAACAGATTTATTACTAATTGATGCCTTCTTATTTCTTAGATGTGCCCCATAATTTCTTGTGCACTTCTATAGAACCCTCTGTGCTTTTCAAAAGCTGTTTCAGAATCTTAGGTGTCATTAAGAAATCTATTTGGTTACTAATGATTCATCCTCCCCAAAGAGAATAAAATGGGTGCCAATGATGTTTATGGCACTTTAGACCTCATTTAAGAAAATGCTCTCACTTGCAAAATTAAAAGCACTAAATATACTTTTACATCCAAGGCAAACATTGGGTACAACCAGAAATACTGACTTTTGCTAGAAATTACAGCATTGGTGTTTAAAACAGAAATGCTAACATTAATTTGACAAATATGTATATAGGGCAACTAAAAGGAAATAATAATTTACTAGTGAGACAAAAATAGTCTATTTTGATAAAGAAGGTTTGTGGTTGATAAATGATAGTGGAAACATCAACTCAAGTTCATCCAAAGAATGAAAATCATCCAATAATAGAGCAATAAATCAGAGCAATAAAAGTCATAAGAAGGATACAACTAAATATTAAAAATAATACTAAGCCAATTATTGTCCTTATTACATTACTTAGGGCTTGTAGAAACTTAACATGACTCATACCTGCTTAAAACTAAAATTTACTGTTTTAAAACACACACACACTTAACAAATTGACTTTTCACTTAAGATTCTTAACTCAAAGAGTTAAATAAGAATAAGGCAATGGCTTCATAGCAATTCGCAAAGCAAAATTTAATGACCTGGCAACATTTCAGTTCCTTAGACCTCAAACACAAAACCTCATTTCTAGCATGCTATCTGGGACTCACAAAATCCTAACATTCACAATTGTTTGTATTTTGGTTGAATGGTGGTTCTGATTTGTGTGGTAGAGTAAACAGAGCAGAGGAACTGGAGTCAAAAGGCCTGGAGAAGTCACAAAGTCTTCCAGAGACTCAGTCTTACTCTCTATAAAAGAGACCCCATGAATGATGTAAAACTAGTCTCTGATCATCACCAATGATTTGTACTGTAACTGTGTAGGGAGGATAAAATTCAATTACATTAAACATTTAAAATAAGCATATTATTTCCCATATATATTTTATATTTGTATAAGAAGAGTCTTATGCTTAAAAAAGTTTAGCTGAGTCTAGAATTCTAGCATAATATTTTTTGTCCCTGTGAAAGTTGAAGCTCTTTTCTTCAACTGTGAAGTTTTCAGGAATACAATTTCCAAAAGGGGCTGGCAGCAAAGGATGATCTGCAGTGCTCCTAACAACTGGTGTGGTAGGGTTTTTATTCCTGAAAGGCAATCTAGCAGCATATCATTCACCACAGTACAGACTTCTGAAGGCTCTGACTCCCCTCTTCAGGGGGGTTCTAGACTCCATCTCCTGTTCCCATACGAGCATTAAACTTATGCTCTAACTTACTGACATCAAAATGACCAACTCCCTTCCCATCGCGCTCCACGACCTACACCAGGACCAGATGTATTAGCTGTTCATGAGCTCTAGTTCCTGTTTACAATTACTGGAGTCATCCAAACCAAGACATTTTCAGAAGTCCAGTCACATTGGATAGCAGGACTATCCCAGGCAAAATGGGTTATCTACTACTTATTCCAACTATCTTTTTTTTGTTGTTTTTTTCACAAGGTCATTTTTAGTTTGAACACTTCCTCTCCCCAGCATTTCTATGTATACAATAGGAAGCTTTTGTATGTTATCTTAGTCTATCAATCTGCAGGAAGGAAAAATTCATATTTTCAATTTTTAAATCTTAACCCGAATTTATCAGAATTGTACCAAATGTAATATATGCATATCCCATTATATTTTATACTGAATTACAAATGCAACACCATTTTTGAAATAATTCATTACACATCCATTGATTTAAAAGGACACATGTATTATATTTCAACCCCCAATACATAAACATGCATACACAATTTTAAATTGAAACACTAAAATCTGTTCTTTTTAATTAAAAAATTTTATTGGTGTGACATTAATTAATAAAAGTATATAGGTTTCAAGTATAAAATTTTATAATATATGATGTGTATAGTATATTGTGTATTCACCATCCAAAGTTGTCTATTTCTGTCACCATTTATTCCCCTTTAATCCTCTTTAGAAAAAACAGTGGTTAAAGACCACGAAGTAAGTGGCAACACCTTCACGTTATGCGAGTCCTTAGGCCCAGGAGCCTCTTCCACACTCAGAGGGGAGTGCTCATCTTCTCTCCCTTCGCACAACACTGAAATCTGTTCTGTGTTTTCTATACATTCCCATTAATCTGCTTATCTATTTTTGTGCCAGTGTCACATTGATTTTTGTAGATTCATAATTCACTTTATTATACAAGATCCTCTTACATTCTCCTAACACTGACTATTTACTTAAAACAAACATGAAAATAACCTTAAAACTGCACAGAACTTCCAATTGGTTAGTATAGAAACAGAGGAAAGCTTTTGCTATTTTTCTACATACGTTGTGGAGTCATCTACTTTATTAAATATACATTTTAGTTTTTATAGCTTGGGTATTTGACTCTAAGATGAAGCATTCTCTCTCTTTTCTCCAATACAAATATATCAATTTTTCAGTTTTGAATAGTACAGCATATCATTATCACTAGACATTGGCCATGCTGATAATAAACACAGGAAGTAATACACAATTGTGGTTTCTTTAGTTGTCTAATGCTAAGCAAAATTCCACTGCGGTTTAGTTCATAGGAGAGTTTTCTTATATTTTTCTTTGTGTAAAAACAAACACCACAATAACGACCACCCAGAAGTAAAGGACTTGCTGCTCAGAGGATATAAAGGAAGGAAAACATTTGCTTAAACATATGTTCTTGTTTATATTATACTTTTAGACAAATTTAAGTTGAGATTTAATAAGACAGTTCCTATCTGATTTAATTATTTCTACAACATCTGCTGTGAGACAATGACACCAACTGAAACATAGTCTTACCTAGGATCAGAGGAATTTTTAAAAATTAGGATCTTCGATAACTAAATCACTACCAAAAAGAGTATGGGAGCAGTACTAAAATTAAGTATATCTGTAAAAATTTATACCCCCCTCCCCCAGTAATTTGTTTGTTGCAAGTTAATCATTCTCCCCCCGAGGACTCAGTAGTCAGTAATCCTGAACATTTTTCAGCTCTCCCAATACACCATGATCTCTCTCTTGGTCCAGCACATTTCGCATGGTACCTCCCCTTCCCCTACTTCTCTCCCCTGTCTGTCACATCTGCCTGTCCATCAGGTGTCAGTTTAGAAGTCTGGTCACCTAGGATGGTTTCCCTGGTGAATTCTTTTGGAAAGGGCTCAGCTAGCTGCTCTGATTCTTACCTGTACTTCTCCTTCCACTTTTATTTTAATTGCTTCTTATAATTTTGTTCCTGAAAATAAGTTGAATTTTGAGGAGTACAGGCATTTTTGTTTAGAGTTGTACCTCCAACAACTAACAAGGAGACTGGAAAGTAGTTAAGTCATTATTAAATAAATTTTGAATAAATAAATGGATATGTAAATGACTAAAAAAGAACAGTGTGATAGTTTTATTCTATGTCAATTTAGCTAAACTGAAACTGTAATTCTCAGGATTCTATTGTCAGTATAGTTCTTGGTTAAAGTTAGAAGAAAAATTTGCACAAGGTTTGGAGACTGGAAATTAAGCAGTAGCCACTGCACTTTAAATGTCATAGTGCTTAGAGGTGGGGGAAGTAGTTGCAGAGGGGGTGGTGGGTCACTGTTTGCCTTGCCTTCCCTTGCTTTCTCTTCAGCTCTTCTTCCTCCTGGACCCCTAATATGAGGGGAGACCCCCAAAACTGGAATTTACTGATAAAAATTGTGTATTTACTCTTACATGTATAAACTTCGATCACCTTCAAAGGACTCTCTATTTGATGCAATACACCTACTGAGAAGTTTCCCACTGTTCAAAACAGTTTTCGAACTCATCAATTTTGATGCCTTTTAGTATTTCTGCTGTTTTTTGTTTCACCTCTTCCAATTGGCATAAGGTTTCCCTTTCAGGACTTTTTTTCATCCAGAGAAACAAACAAAACAAGTTGCATGGTGTGAGATCAGGTGAATAGGAAGGGTAGGGCATAGTCAAACTGTTTTTTGGTCAAAAAATTGCAGAACACTAAGATGTTTTAGTGTTCTACAATATTGATCAACATTATAGTCTCTTCAGGTCCTAACAGTGTTCGGCATGCAAGAGACATTCAGAAATGCTCATTAAATTAAAGTGATTTGATCTATACTAAAAAAAGTTTTAGGCACAAATATTACACAAGTCAAGTTTTATGTCTTTTTGCATTCATGGCTGTTATTTTGTATAAAAATATAAATACATTTTTCAAAATAATTTGAGTGAGCATCACCATTTGTTTTCCAGAGTTAGTTTTAAGAACAAAAGCCACCCTGGTTGGTGTAACTCAGTGAATTGAGCACAGGCCTGCAAAACCAAAGGGTCACCAGTTTGGTTCCCAGTTGGGGCACATGCCTGGATTGCAGGCCAGGTCCCCGTGGGGGTGCTTGAAAGGCAACCACACATTGATATTGCTCTCACTCTCTTTCTCCCTCCCTTCCCTTCTCTCTAAAAATTAAATAAATAAATTTTTTTGAAAGAATAAAAACCGAGGACAGTAAAAAAAATTAATAATACTTTCCTGCTGTTTTAATATTTAGCAGATTATAAGAATTCTTTTGGCAAATACAACTTGCCCTAATTTTATTCATATTTAAGAAAGTTTATCTCTGCTTTTCATTCATTTTGATGTAATTATATCTGTTTTGCTAGCCTTAGAAAATATATCATTTTTACGTAACTGACATACAGTTTTTGCAATCAAATTAATAACTACTTTGAGAAGGGAAATGTTATGTCTGTACTAATATCATTTAGGTTCACAAACACATAATTTCAACATTTTTATCTTTATTATTTATATTATAATATGCAATGAGACATAGGTCCATGAGGAAATATCAGTCTATTCAACTGAGATTGGGAATATAAAAAAACTGACTTTATGACAAAGTTAGAACTAACATTTAACAATGAAATAATATCCAAATTAACTTGCTTATATCTAATACTAGACTAGCAAAGTAAATAATGGAATCTTAGCTCTGGTAAGAAATATAAGAAGCATTCAGGATAAAAGCATTATCTTTACATTAGAAAGATTATGGAATAAGTTTTGTATAAATAACTTAGTTATCAGTATGTTTAAAATAATAAGCATAAAATAACAGAAATTTCCTACTGAAATAGCCCAAAACATTGATGTCACTCATTGGTGATAAATTCAATTGATTGCAGTCATGAGAAAAACAATCTTAAAAGGATGTTTTACTAAATTTTGAATATTAAACCATCCTTTGATTAATAAGTTATTTTTAAAAGCTAAACTTTCAGGAATTATTAAATATCCATTATAAATTTGTTTTTTCTTTTTAAAAATCCTTTCTAATGTCTCTCATGAAATAATGAAGAGGAATGATAAAAACTGGCTTACCAGAACATGAGAAAAACCAAAGAGCAATGGTTGTGAATAGAAAAAATAGTATTAATTTCTATATGTGGTTTGAGTAATCATTCTCATTATTTTAGAACTGAAATGATTAAAATTCAAACCATGGTGTGTGCATTCTTGGAGTGGTATCAGTATTAGCTGTATATAACCACAAATGTCAACAACATTATTTTGTAAATAGACAATGTATTTTAGGAAGACATGAATTCTATGATTATAATGACAATGTCCACCCATTGGAATTATTCACTGTTGGCACACTTTTTTTCTCCGTGAAATATTCTTGATCTTGGTAAATCTAGATACTTTATACATAACATAGGTCAACAAACATTTACTGTAAATTGGCAGATGAATATTTGAGGCTCCATGGGCCATGCATTTCTGTGACAACTATTCAACTCTGCTATTATAGCAGGAACCAGCCATAAATCGAAAACACTGTTTCCAATAAAACATTATTTATGGAAAAGAAATTTGAATGTCATATAATTTTTGTGTAATAAATATTATTCTTCTTTGGATTTTTTAATCAATCATAAATGTAAAAAAATGTTTGGTTCTTGAATGTACAAAAAAAGTGATGGGCTAGATTTGGCCTGTGGCCACTATTCCCAACCCCTTACATAACATGTAGAGGAGCCTGCCAACTGCTATTAGTTGCTAGATAACAATCTTAAGCTCACTGATGGTGACTAGACATAAAAATAAAATCAGCTTAAATGTACTTTTACACTTGAAGAATGAACCATATTAGTTTGCATAAAGGATAAATAGATGCAGTAACACCAGCAAATACAACCAGCCAAATATCTGAACAGAAAAAAGAAAATGGAAAGACTTGAGGCACAGAAAACAAAAAATAAAATTCACAAAGCCAAACAGATTAATTTATCATACTACCTGATTTTCTGTTTGAGAACCATTATAATTCATTCAAAACAGTGTTTTCTACCTTAACTACAAAGCAGAGGCATATTGGTTCCCTTTGAAAAGATGTAGCTTCAATGGACAACAAGGGGTCTAATAGAAGAAGCGGGTCTCCCTTCATTCCACAAACTTGGGTAACTAATAATATCTTTTTGAAGGTAGAAAGAGCACAGTCCACACAATATAGCTCCCAGATATATTTCATGAGAGGAACTATGGGCAGTGTGGTAGGACTGTCCTAAAACTGGGACCAAAAGCATCAAAGGAGAGTAACAGGCCTGCTTGAGCCAGTCTTTTTTATTTATTCATGTAAAAGTACAAAAATACTTGCTAGTAAAATGAATTAAGTGGATGTTTCTGCTGGCCACAGAGTTCTAATGAAAACTGTAATGCTCAGTACACAAGAATTCCAGCTTAGAAATGGAGGCTCAGAGTTTCTTAAGCAATGACAAAGATCTATCTAGGATCTACTATTAATTGGATTATGTTGGATTTCCACCTCCCATTCAGTTCAACTTCAACTTTCATTATCCACTTTATCACCCTGAAAAGTAAAGGGTGAACTTAATAAATGAATGGCAGAATCTTCTTAGCAGTCTTATATTTGTTCTACATGATTTATAGTCCTTTACTTTCATTCCCAAAATAATTTGTCATAATATATAACTGAGGAAACATTCAAGAATGTTTTTGAAAATCAATCAAATGAAATGGAAGGAAGTTCTAAATTTTAAAGCCCTGTGAAGAACTTAATATTTCTTA